ATCCATCCATCCATCCATCCATCCATCCATCCATCCATCCATCCATCCATCCATCCATCCATCCATCCATCCATCCATCCATCCATCCATCCATCCATCCATCGGTTCAATGCATATTTATTTAGCACCCACTCGGTGCAAAGCTCCAGGGAGTCCACTCAGTCCTACAGACTAGGAGGGAAAACCAGTAATTAACACTTTAAATACATGTGCTCAGTGCCATGGGGTTTAGAGTACAACGGAAGCATCCGAGACTGATAACTAACCCAGGCTAGGCTTCCCGAGTCTACAGGAGTAGAACAGAGGGAGGGACAGAAACCAATAATTGATGATTTTACCCCAAACACCTTACACCCATATTCAATATACCTCAAAGTTCTGAGTCAGGTATTATTGGGGTCTCACTTTTCAAGGCAAAGGATTGCTCCCTGGGGATTCCAAATTGAATTAAAGCAGAATCGCTGTGCTGCGGGTCCTAGCTGAGGATATAGCTACAGCTTGGAGCAGGAATGAATGAATTCCTTTACCTCTATCCAAAACTGACAGGAATCTAGAAAGATACTTTTGTCCTTTCTGGTTCCTCTACCTCGGTGGTGCTGGAAATTGAACTCAGGGAAGTCAGGGCCTCTTCACACACGCTAAACAAAAAGAGGCTACATCCACAGTTCCTAGGAGGTAGCGTTTTCTTGAAGGCTGGAGGACACTTTCAGAACGTCCCCTCACCCTTTCTGCAAAAATCGGCCTGTTGCTTCTGACAAGAGACGACTGGGAAGTGAATATGGGAAAAAGACCTATCCAAAGGCCCAGAATTAGAACCTGAGGCGTTTCCCTACTCCACTCTTCCACGTGGCTAGGTCGCAGAAAGAGGACTGAAGTTGACGCTCAGGAAAGATGGTTTACCTTACAGTGCAGATCAGGACTTGAAAAACCCCGCGGGCGTGGCTTAGAGTCTTAAGGGCTGCAGAAGCTTGAGACCTCCAACCCTATTGGCTATGGCCTCGAGCAGGTACTTTCTGATTAGGGGTACAACAGATCTGCGACTTGGGCAGGCCTAGGAAGCGGCTTCGGGTGAATGGGTGCTATTTACATTTTGGGAGCGATATTTTACGCGATTTTAAAAGGGAAGTCTCTGACTCCCCGCTCCCAAACTAAGACCAATTGACCCATGTTGACCCTAGGACTTCAATTTCTTCTTAACAACCTCTTCTAACAGAATGGATGAGACGTGCGAGGGAGAAGGGGTTGAAGCGCTTAAGACTGAGTGCGAAGATTTACGGGCGGTGGTTTTCTCGGGAACTACAACTCCCAGAAACCCTTGCGGCAAAACTCTCGCTTACTGGCTAAAGGAAGGGCCCCCCAGCACCCTCAAGCCCCCATAGACTAGAGGCATTGCCGAGGCCCGAGGGCCGTGGCTTCCGTTAGTTGCCCGGGACTTCTGATCCCCCGTGCTGTGATGTGAACCGACCTCGCGATTTTTATGTGTGGGGCGGGGAGGCAGAGAGACCAAGGTATTTCGTGTCTTTTGCGGCCACGCCTGGTGGTTGTAGGGAGGCTGGGGCTGGGCGAGGAGATGGGGGGCACGTAAGGCCCAGGGATGCAGGCGTGGGGATGAATGAGTTGAGGAGTACGTGGCGGATGGTGTGTGAGGGACAGTAGGTTGAGGACCAGGCTGTTATGGGTTTTTAACAAGTGAATGTATCCCTTGGGACTCATGAATGGTACTTCTGGTAATTTAGCCTAATTTGTAATAGGGTAAAGTCGTCTACGAACTTTGAGGTGCCTCAGCAACTCGAACTGAGAAGTTCTGTCACAAATCACAGTAGCTGAGTTTTTTTGGTTAATTGCAGAAGGCTCTGTAACCGGTTAGTCAGATAAGCTGTAGCCAAAACGTTGTCTCTGTCTTACTTCTCTGTCTTACATCCTTTTGGGGAGGCAGAGGGTTTCTTGTTGTTGCTGTTACTGTTTTGTTTTGGTCTAGTTTGGTCTTGTTGAGATTGGGTATCGTTTTGCTTGCCTGTGCTAGCCTGAAACTCACTGTCCAGACTGACCTTGGACTCGAGGCAGTGTGTGTTGCCCCAGCGTTTGTGCACTTGCTTTGGGACATGGTTGAAAGTCATAGGATAACTTCTGTGAATTGGTTCTCTCCTGCCGCTCTGTGGGATCCAGGGATTGAACTCAGGTATCTATCAGGCTTGTGCACAAACCCTTATTTATCTGCTAAGCCGTCTTGCTAGCTTTCTGAGTTTTTTGTTTTTTTTTTTTTTTTTTTCAATAACGAGAATTTTTTTGTTTTGTTTTGTTTTGTTTTGTTTTTCCAGACAGGGTTTCTCTAACAGCTCTGGCTGTCCTGGAACTCATTTTGTAGACCCGGCTGGCCTGGAACTCACAGAGATCCACCTGCCTCTGCCTCCTGAGTCCTGGGATTAAAGGCGTGGGCCACCACCGCCTGGGGATGGGACAGCTTTTATGTGTTGGTTTATCCTGGCACTTTGTGGAAGGCCGGGATTGGACTCAGGTCATCAGGCTTTTGAGGCAAACACTTTTACCTACTAAGCCATCTTGCTGACTGTTTGTTCACTCCATTATTCTGGCATTCAGACTCTTTCATGCCCGGCTCCCTTTGGGGGACAAGATCTCACTATGTGCCTCACTAAAGGAGGCTCACACCTTTAATCTCAGCACTCGGGAGGCGGAGGCAGGAGGATCTCTGTGCGTTGGAGACCATCCTGGTCTACAAGAGCTAGTTCCAGACAGCCTCCAAAGCAACAGAGAAACCCTGTGTCGAAAAACAAAAAACAAACAAAAAAAAATTAAAAAAAAAAAAAACCTCACTATGTAACTCTAGCTGGCCTGGAAATCACCATGTAAACCAAGCTAGCCTCAAACTCCCAGAGATCTGACTGCCTTTCCCTCCTTTAGACAAAGAGACCAAGTTAAATATATATATGTAGCAAATAATACAAGCCCTTAATGTATTGTTAATACCCTTTCAAAGAACTTCATTATTCTTAATTTTGGGGGAGGGTGTTAGGGATTGAACTGAGGGTTGAGCATTCAAGGTTGAAACTCTACCAATGACTCACATACTCAGGTCCAGAGTATGTTTTTATATGCTGAAGATGTGTGTCAAATCATCAAGTTGCTGAATAGAAGAGAAAATGGAAATTAGATAATAGACTTTTTGTTTGTTTGTTTTGTTTTTCTCGAGACAGGGTTTCTCTGTTGTTTTGGAGGCTGTCCTAGAACTGGCTCTGTAAAACAGGCTGGCCTCGAACTCACAGAGATCCGCCTGCCTCTGCCTATAGAGTGCTGGGACCAAAGGCATGCACCTCCACCACCTGGCTTAGATAATAAAAGTAACTTTTAGTTTTTAATTACACATATTCTAACTTGAAAGTACCACAAATAGCTGGATATGGTACTCACACCTTTAATCCCAGCACTTAGAAGGTTGAGGTAGGAGGATCACCAAGAGTTTGGGGCCAGCCTGGACTACATAGTGAGTTCCAGGTGAGCGTGGGCTTCAGAGTGAGACTCTGAAAAGAAGTCAAGTAATGCTGGGCAGTGGTGGAGCACACCTTTAATCCCAGCACTCAGGAGGCAGAGACAGGTGGATCTTTGTGAGTTCAAGGCCAGCCTGAACTACAAAGCTACACAGAGAAACCCTGTGTCAAGAAACAAAAACAAAACAAAAAAGTAGTCAAGTAAAAGATAGTGACTGGCAAAGTGACTTGGTGGGTAAAGGTGCTACCAAGCCTGAAGATCTGAGTTTGATCCCCAGAGCCCATATAGTAGAGGTGAAAAAAATGGACTCGCCAAGTTGTCCAGTGACCTCTGTACACTTGAGCATGTGCACACATACGTAAACTGAGATCAATAAAAGGAGTTTTTTAAAAAATTAAAAGACGGGCCATGGTTGTGCACACTTTTAATCCCAAGCACTGGGCATGCAGAGGCAGGCAGCTCTCTGTTAGTCTGAGGCCAGCCTGATCTACAGAGCAAGTTCCAGGACAGCCAAGGCTGTGCAGAGGCCTGTCTTAATGCCATCCACCCCCAAAAGAGAACTGAAAAGGGATCCTGAAGAGAATGTTCAGTGGTTTACAGCACTTGTTGCTCTTACAGAGGACCTGGGTTTGGTTCCAGTATCCATGTGATGTTTGCAACCATCTGTAGCTCCAGTTCCGAGGTATCTGATATCATTTGACCTCCCCAAGCACTAGGTACACACATGGTGTATCTGTGTAGGCAAATGCTCAGACACATAAAATGAATATATCTATAAAATTAAAAATAAAGAGAAAGTAAGAAAAGAGCTAAAAATACCAGGATAAACTCTAAATCTAAATTCAGTGTGTGTGTGTGTGTGTGTGTGTGTGTGTGTGTGTGTGTGTGTGTGTGTGTGTGTGTGTGTGTTTTGTGTCATGGTCTTAATGTTATAGGCTGGTCTGTAACTCAGTGTAAACCTGGGATTAAAGGTGTGCACCACCTTATTGGGCAATTTTGCTGTAATTTTAACAGTTCCAAATTAATTATTCTTTGTGTCATGCCTGGGTTTTAAGCTATGGCCTCACACATACTAAACATATGCTCTGTCATTGAGCTATGTCTCCAGCTCAATATCTTCTAATATACATTACATATTCAGATTTCTCCAGTTCTAAAAATACTCCTTTCTTTTTATCCCTCCCCCCAAATACTCCTTTCTTGATAGAAAGTTTTATTTCATGGTGCTGCTCACTCTGCTTACTTGGGCATAATAATCTCTTAATTTACAAGTTGCTCTCCTGTGTCCCAACAGAATTAACCTGTTAAAGGTCCCAATCTAACTTCCAAATTTGCTTGATTTTTCTTTCGGGATGTAGCTCCACCCCCCCTTTGAGCCAGGGTTCCACTCTACAAAACTAGCTGTCCTGGAATCACTATGTGGACCAGGTTGGTCTTAAACTCACCTAAATCCTCCTGCCTCAGCCTCCTGAGTGCTGGCATTAACTGCATGAAACACATGCCCTTTTGTAACTTTCCTTCTTTATGGTTTCAGATAGCCTTTATCAGAAAGGATGGAGTTGGGAAATGGAAAACTCCTTAGGACCGGACTGAACTCATTGAATCAGGCTGTGCATCCAACCCACGGCCTGGCCTGGACTGATGGCAGACGGGTAGTCTTGACTGATTTACAGCTTCGTAAAGGAGAGGCCAAGTTTGGGGACTCCCAAGTCATTGGGAAATTTGAATATGTCTGTGGGGTTTCCTGGGCTCCACTCAGCACAGCTCACATACCCACTCTGCTTGCCATCCAGCATAAGAAGCATGTTGCTGTGTGGCAACTGTGTCCCAGCATTTCGGGATCCAGCAAATGGCTGCTGTCTCAGACCTCTGAAATCAGAGAGTCACTCCCTATCCTGCCTCAGGGCTGTGTGTGGCACCCAAAAGATGCCATCCTTACTGTGTTGACGGCACAGGATGCTTCCATTTTTCCTAATGTTCACCGAGATGGTTCCAGAGTAAAAGTAGACATCAATACCAAGGGCCGAATTTACTGTGCATGTTGGAGCCTGGATGGCCAGAGGCTGGTACTGGCCATAGACAGCAGCCTTCATTCGTATATGTGGGACAGTTCTCACAAGTCTCTTCTCAGCTGCTCCTTCTGCCCAGTGTTTCAAGTGAACCGCTCTATCCGCTCCATCACAGCCACTGTGGACTCACATGTCGCCATAACCACTGAGCTCCCACTCCATAAGCTTTGCAGCTTAAATGCATCGGAAGCCTTTGATGATCCAACTAATGGGAACCATGCTGGTGTAGGAACTCTTCCTGGGGGTGAAACGCCCCCTGGAGAACTGAATTCTGGAGTGACGGTTTCTCCCTCTTCAGATCCTCTGGATCTGACTCACATACATTTCAACCAATGTCAAGCCAGGGAGGGCTCTCTTATCTGTGTAAGTAAAAAGGACTACTTGACAGGAACTGGTCAGGATTCTTCACATTTGGTCCTGGTAACCTTTAAGAAAGCAATCACCATGACAAAAAAGGTCGCCATTCCGGGGATTCTGGTTCCTGATTTAATAGCATTTAACCTGAAAGCACAGCTAGTGGCCGTGGCTTCCAATACGTGTAACATCATTCTTATCTATTCAGTCCTTCCGTCTTCTATGCCAAACATTCAGCAAATTCAGTTAGAGAGTAACGAAAGACCAAAAGGCATATGTTTCTTGACAGACAAATTATTATTAATTTCTGTAGGGAAACCAAAGCCCACCGAGACAGCATTCCTTCCTTCCTCAGAGTCTGATCAGTACTCTGTTCGCCTGGTATTTAGAGAAATAACGTTGGCAAGAGAAACTTCTGGAATGCCTACTGAAAGTCAGGGTGCTTACTCTGCCTTCAACGTCCTGTTGAATAGAGCAAACAGAGAAAAGTTCCTTGAGAGCCTTTCCCCAGGGTGGAGTCCCCTGAGCCAAGGATTCTTGCTAACAGATGACGCCAGTACTCTGAGTGGGAGGTCCAGAAGAGCCCTTATTCAAGAGATTAGAAGTCCCTTGTCCCCTCCATCCAGTGCCTCCATTGTACAGGAAACCCCTCACGGGCCCTCCTGGCTTCAGCCAGCATTACCTACACCTAGCGGGACACCAGACCACACCAGCACCCCAGAACCGAATTTACTCCAAAGGGAGAACTCACAACAAGAAAAGGAAACTTGCCCACTCTCCAGGGAGCTGGACATCTTATCCAGGCACCTGGTTGGGATACATGAGTGTCTTCTTGAACTCAGGGATTTTCTATTCAAGGAGAAGCGGTGCTCCCCAATGTATCCACTCTCTCAGGATCCCTCCTTTGTTCACCTCATTTACCAGGTAACATCTCCTTCGAGGAACTTCCACTGTGTGGGGAGAGCTTGAGTCCAGTAAGGAGGGGGCTCTGAGAAAAGCTCAGCCACCTGTACAACCTACATCCCAGGCAAGCTGCACACCTTGGTTGGATGCTAGCCTTGCAGAAGTGCACACACCAGGTTTAGCATGATTTTATCATATCCTTGGTGTGGAAATTAATGACTGCACTCAGGTGACTTATATTTAGGAAAAAAAATAGGTTTAAGTATGTCATTTCATTGTGAAAACCTCTTCCCTATGTGTGTGTGTGTGTGTGTGTGTGTGTGTGTGTGTGTGTGTGTGTGTGATATGATGATGATGATTTAAAATGTTTTGAATGGCCGGGCAGTGGTGGCGCACGCCTTTAGACCCATCCACCAGAGGCAGGTGGATTGCTCTGAGTTTGAGCCTGGTCTACAAGAGCTAGTTCCAGGACAGCCACCAAAGTGACAGAGAAACTCTGTCTCTAAAAACCAAAGAAAAAAAGTTTTGAATGCATCCGTACACATGCACATGCAACTACATCTCCATGTTTCCGGGGAGGGGTTATGATTATTGTTTGTATTTTTGAGATGGATTTTCTGTATATTTTCTCTGGCTGTTCTGGAATTCATTCTGTAGGCCAAGCTGGCCTTGAACTCAGTTCCACCTGCCTCTGTCTCTCGAGTGCTGGGATTAAGGTGTATGCCACCACCGCATGGCTCATCTCCATGTTTTTTTATCATGGACACTTCTTTTCATGTTGCATTTAGCTCTGCTCCACCCTGTCCATCACTTACTTTCACCAGCAGCCTAATGTGGATACTCCCACACTTGCCTCTACACATATAAAACACAGATCCCTGTGTACATAGACACATACAGTGATTTGTCCTTGTTTGACAGCATTGGAGTCATGGGATGCACTGTACCTCAATCTGAGTATGCATATTTAGTCAGCTTTGATTTCAGTTGGGTACCTCAAATAATGCTATTTGTTAATTTGGTTTGATACCTTTGTTTTTGCTGAATTAGTTCCCAGAAGTGAAGTACAAATTTGAAGAGTGTATCTCTACCGTTTTTCCGTTTGCTTGTTTGGTTTTTTTTTTTTTTTTTCTTCTGAGACAGGGTTTCTCTGTGTAACTTTGGAACCTATCCTGGCACTCTCTCTGGAGACCAGGCTGGCCTCGAACTCACAGAGATCCGCTGCCTCTGCCTCCCGAGTGCTGGGATTAAAGGCGTGTGCCACCGATGCCTGGCTTTGTTTGTTTTTTTTTAAGATAGGGTCCCCTGTAGCTCAGACTAGCTTCTCAAGGATGACCTTGAACTTCTTATGTGTGGCGTGGCGTATGTATGTTCATGTGAGCTGTGTGCATGTGCCGGTGGAGGCCATGTACATGTGTGTCTGGAGGCGGGAAGCTGACATCACGTGTCTTCTTAGGTTGCTTTCCACCATATGTTTTGAGATCAGGTTTCTCAGTGAGTTCTAAGAATCACCAGCCAGCATGTACCCTGCTCTTTTATTTACATGTGTGCTGGGAATTCAAACTCAGGTTCTCGTGCCTTTGCAGGTGATACTTTGCAGGAGACTCAGCCATCTCCACAGACTATGACCTTGAACTTCTTATCTTCTGCCTTCACTTCTGAAGGGCTGAGATTACAGCTGTTCACCGCCACACCTGGTTTTACGCTGTGCTAGGGAACCAGCTCTGGGCCTTGTGTGTGCTGAGGAGAGTTGTCCAGTTGATACCATTGGTTTTGGCATTTATTTACATAGCACGTGTATTGGAAAAAGTGGTTAGAAGCAGAACAGGTAGTGGTTAAGAGCATGAACTAGGCTGGACATGGTAGCATGCATATACCTTAAGTCCCAGGAAGACAGAGGATCTGGCCTGGAACAGAGCAAGTTCCAGGACGGCCAGGCTACATATTGAGACTGTCTCAAAACAACAGCAACAAAAAAAAAGTCTTAAAAACAAAGAAAGAAAAGGCATGCCCTCCTCTTATAGAGGACTAGAGTTATTCCTAGCACCTGTAACTCTAGTTCCAGGGGATAATGCCCTCTTCCAACCTCTTCTGGTACTAGGTGACATATATGGTACTAGGCATATATGCAGCAAAACATACACACATAAAAATGAATCTTAAACAAAAAGGAAAAAAAGAAAATTAAAAATGATTAAACAATTAGACTAAACAGATTGAGTATCCTCAATCCAAATATCTGAAGTCTGAAATGCCCTAAATTTCAAAACTCTGCCATGTAAGTGTAAAATTCCATACCTTTGTTCATGTGATTGGACATAGCCCAAATCCAGTTACACACCAGGCTTCATGGCTGTAGCTGTAATCCCAACACCCGGGAGGTGGAAATAGAGAATGGGCGGTTTAGTGTCACATCATGAACTTGCTGACAGCTGGGCTACATGAGACCCTACCTCATAAACAAACAATACAAATGAAATAACAATTTTGTTTAAGCTACCTGCAGAGCTAGGTGTGGCTGTGCATGACTATAATTCCCGTGCTCTGAAGGCCTTGAGGCACTGGGGAAACGAAGCCAACCAGGTACACAATGATTCTACATCACAAGGGAGATGAGAATACTGTGCTTAGAAAGCTGGGTACAAGCCGGGTGTTGGTGGCGCACGCCTTTAATCCCAGCACTGGGTAGGCAGAGGCACTCAGATTTCTGTGAGTTCGAGGCCAGCCTGGTCTCTAAAGCGAGTGCCAGGATAGGCTCCAAAGCTACACAGAGAAACCCTGTCTCGGGGAAAAAAGAAAGAAAGAAAGAAAGAAAGAAAGAAAGAAAGAAAGAAAGAAAGAAAGAAAGAAAGAAAGAAGGCTAGAGAGATGGCTCAGCGGTTAAGAGCACTGACTGTTCTTCCAGAGGTCCTGAGTTCGATTCCTGGCAACACCATGGTGGCTCACAACCACCTTGAATGAGATCTGGTACCTTCTGCTGGCATGCGGGCAGAAGACTGTATACATAATAAATAAATAAAAATCTTTAAAAAAAAAAAAAAGAAGAAAAGAAAGAAAGCTGGGTACATTCCTCACTCCTGCATGTAGTTCCATCTACTGAGGAGGTTGTGGAACTGGGACCCAGAAGTTTGGGGCCAGGAGCATGAATTGAACTAGACCCTATCACAAAACAAACAAAAATTCTACTTTTTATTAAGGTGCACATGAAACATAAATGACTTCATGTTTAGATAGATATCTTATTACACATACTTCTGTCCTCGAGCATTTCAGATAAGGGATAATCAACCTGTGTAGTGACATTCCATATGGTCAAGGTCATCACGGTGTGAGTCTGAAACTCAAACAAAATAGTGATGTTAATGTTAACAGCAAAATGCGTTAGACACATGACTGCTTTATGCTTTTTTCATTAGTGTATATTAATTATACAAAATAATGTTTCATTATTACTTATTTTAAGCCTTCCTCGAACCCTCCCCCCATTCCCTGATCCCCATTATCTTTCCTGTGACAATCCCCTTCTACTTAACATGTCTCCCTCCTCTCGATTCCATATATGAGAGAAAGTGCAGTACTTGTCCGTGTCTGACCCATTCCACAAACCTGCTGTCCAGTTCCATTGTTAACACTGTTCTCCAAGTACACGTTCCAAATAATAGTCCTGAGTAATGCATCGGCAATAACTTTCATCTATTATTTTGTGTGTTTGTATAGAATGTGCATGTGTGAGGTATGCATACATGTTCCATGGCATGCATGTAGAAATCAGAGGACAACTTTCAAGAATCAGAAGCCAGGTGTGGTAGGTAGTACACACCTGTGGTCCTAGCACTGAGGAGGCAGAGACAGGTTTACCTCTGTGAGTTCAAGTCCAACCTGATCTACAGAGTGAGTTCCAGGACTGACAGAATTATATAGTGAGACTTTGTCTTAAAAAAAAAAAAAAAAAAAAAAAAAAAAGCCTGTTCTCTCCTTCCACCTTTGGTTCTAGGAATCGGACGTGGGTTATCATGACCTAAGTAACAAGTGCTTTTTCCCACTGAGCCATGTTACTGGCCTAGTATTTTAGTAATGAAACTTTTGCTGTGATAGAACACCATATCCAAAGCAAACTGGGAAAGAAAGGGTTTTGTTTTTTGTTTTTTGTTTTTTTTTTTTTTCAGCATCCAAATTTTTATTGAGGAAGTGGGTTTCTAGAGGGGTTGTGGGCCTGGGGCCCGGAAAGGGTTTATTTTGCCCACAGTTCCACATCACTGCTCATCATCAGAAGCAGTCAAGTCAGGAACCTGGAAGCAGGAGCTGATGGAGAGTGCTCCTTACTGGCTTGCTGTCTTGGCTTGATCAACCTGCTTTCTTATAGAACCCAAGACCACCAGCCCAGGGATGACATCACCTACAATGACCCTCCTCTGTCACTCACTCACTCACTCACTAAGAAAATACCTTATAGGCTTGGCATTTTCTCAGTGAGGTTCCCTCCTCTCTGATGACTCTAGCTTGTGCCAAGTTGACATAGAACTGGTTGCAAGCCTGGCCCTAGAAGTAATACTTACATTCATGATTATGCTTTTCGGTTTATACTGTGTCTTAAGGTAGAACTGTAACAATTTAAAGGTATTTTTCTCTAGGTATATTTTAAATCACTTCTAAAATGACTTCACTCTTTCATGACTAAAAAAAGGTTTGTGTTGCCAGGCGTTGGTGGTGCACACCTTTAATCCCAGCACTTGGAAGGCAGAGGCAGGCGGATCTCTGTGAGTTCGAGACCAGCCTGGTCTCCAGAGCAAGTGCCAGGATTGGCTCCAAAACTACACAGAGAAACCCTGTCTCGAAAAATCAAGGGAAAAAAAAAGTTTGTGTTTTGAGACAGGATCTCACTGTGTAACCCTGCTGTCCTCAACTTGTTTTGAAGATCAGACTAACCTCAAACTCATAGAGCTTTGCGTTAAAGACTCTATGTTGTCTTTAAGAATGTCATTGCATTGCTTGGACCATCAGTTAACCATTTTTTACTTCTGCTTGAAGAAACCTCCTTCTGTGGGTCCTGAGGAAAAAAGAGCCGTGCTTCTTTGTGATGGCAAACTAAGGCTCAGCACAGTTCAGCAGATGTTTGGCCTCTACCTCGTCGAAATGCTTCTCGGTATGTTAGAGTCAGAGCATCCTCTCCTTCTCCCATCCAAATGATCCTGTCCGAACATTCAGTAATTCACAAAACAGTTAATAAATATGACACATTGCCTACCTACCATATACCCAGACCTGTTAGAGAAACTACAGCCCATTGAAATGAGTCCTTTCCTAAAGGAACTTATGCCAAACTGGGAAAATGCACATCTTTTAAAAAGTAGAAATGAAATGGAAAAAAAGAGGTAGAGCTGGGTTGTTACTGGATTGTAACAGTGTGCCTGTTGCAATCAAATGCAGCTGTTGAGAAGCACTGCAGTGTTGTGTGAAAGAAATGGGGAGCTGGGAAGGACAGGCTACACTAAAGCTCTGCCTGAGGCCTTAGTTATCACTTGTGGAACGTGGTTATTTATTTATTTATTTGGTTTTTCAAGACAGGGTTTCTCTGTGTAGCTTTGGAGCCTATCCTGGCACTCACTCTGGAGACCAGAATAAAAAATTCCTTGGTAGAGTGAATCTTCTTCATGAAGTTTCTGGAGAAACTAGTGAACATCCTAATATGTATATATGATGTACACTCACAAGTTTGTATGCATGCACAGCACCATATGATAAATGTCAGGCCTCGGGCAGGGGAGATGGCTCAGTAGTTAAGAGCACCACCTGCTCTTCCAGAGGACCTGGGTTCAATTCTCAGTACCCACATGGCAGCTCACAGCTGTCTGTAACTCCTGTAACTGTCGCAGAGGATCCATGGTCCTCATACAGACATACATGCAGGCAAAATGCCAAATGTACATAAAATAAAAATAATAAATTATAAATGTCAGTCCTGAGGAAAGCTGTGTTCTTAGCTTAGAATGACCCCACTTGAGGTGACTGTCTTTGATGAGCTGCCATGTGACCTGACCCTAAGTACAACTCTATTCTTTGACCTCCGTATTTTCTGAAAAGTGTTAGAGGTGTAGGATGAGGTTTAATATCAACCTCTGTTTTTCACTTTTAAAATGTTAGCCCCAACGTGGTAGTGTGCACCTGTGGTCCCAGCATTCGGGGCTGAGTCCTGATTACTAGTGTAAGGCCAGCCTTGGGCTACACGGTGCTAGAGCTGCAGAGCCAGACTTAACAATAGTAGCAAGGTATGTTTGCAGTTATGTGTTTATCCTTCTAGAATTGCATGGTCGGCTAAGTTGTGGTTTATTTACTTTGTAGCTTCCCACTGGATACTCCTCTCCGCCGATAGTCAAGGTTTCATCCCATTAACTTTCACAGCCTCCCAGACTGTAGTGGTAAGAGACGGCAGCCTGTCCAAGCCAGAGGTGGCTAGGGACTCTGTTTCTCACCATCCGGATCCCATTCCTCCACCTGGAGTCATTGAAGACCTTGCCACCCAGAGTGTAGATACAGCTGGTGGTTTCAACATCATGACCTGATGGCTGTTTTGCAGAGAGCATGCTCCAACAACTTCCCTGTGGCTGTGTGCTGCTGGGCAGCAGGGCAAGTGGTTGCTTGTGTATTCATGACTGTATCATGTGGAGGATAGAATTCCAAGAACAAAACAATACTGTGTTGCCATGTGGATTGTACTTTGTGATTTCTCCAAGGCCTTGCTTTCTTCAGCCAGAAGCTGTGTTAAAACGCTGCCTTAGAGTGTGTCACAGGCTACATTGGCATAGTGGTTGGCCTTTTTCCTGCTTTAAAGATGCAGGTGAAGAGGGCGGCTGGGTAGCCTGTGCCTTTTCATCTATTCCCCGGGCAGCAGGAAACCGGTGCAAAGGAACTCTGATACCTCTCTTCACCCTTAGGACTGCCTGGATCAGGAGGAAGTTCAGAGGATGGCCTCTCTCCCCAGATTTAAAACCACCCCTTGTGATTCCAAAAATAATTCTACCTGACTGAAATCCAGATACTGCAAAAAAAGTGCTCTCAGCAAATTTTAAATAAAATTTCAAGATTTGACCACCTCTGGCCTCTGCCTGAATGTGTGCTGCTGCCCTCCTGGTGAGACCCAAGCCTTTGCCACTCATGAGATGTGTTGGTTTATTTTCCAGTTTGAGGACTACAGACATTTCTTTTGTTTGTTTGTTTTTAAAGTAAGGGCTCAGGCCTTCCTTCAGAATGTAAGGCTCTGGCTTCCACTGAGCTCTGTGCCTCCACCCCACCCAGCTTGTCACTTTAACTTTGGCAATTCTCTTTTCACTCCCTAAGAGACCATTGTAGATCAGAAAGTGTTTCAAAACGTTGAAAATTTCACAAAATTTAAAGGAGTTCTAAAGCGTGTCAGTTGGTGTGTACTGATAAGCTACCATCTCAGATTGGCGGCAAGAGCCTTGATCCCCTCAGCCGGACAAGTGGCTGCTTCAGGCAGTACCCCCAACTCCGGTGTTAGTCTCTGCAGGCCAGCAGGTTGATCAGGGTTGGAAGTGCTGCACATTTGCAGATACATTGTTTCAACCATCGAGGCTCCATTAACACATTACCTCCCCCCCCCTTTGCCTTTAAAATTACCCGGAGAGAACTATCTTGTGCCTTTGGGGACTCCTGTCTGTCTGTTGCAGTTCATGATGATGGAACTGGGCTAGGAGAGGGCAAAGGCCTATTTTGTGGTTCAGATGCATTAGACAACTGCTGGGATAATGGACGGGAAGGCCACTTGTCTGTAATCAGTGGCCTGGAGAGTGGTGGCCGAGGGGAGTCTGGGGCCTGGCTCCATCTGCACAGGAAGTGTCTGTGGTGTGATGAAATCACTGCTATTACCAATCCTAAAGAGAGGGACTAAGGGAACCTGAGTAAGATCAAAGTGAATGCCTCAAGATGTACTTTATAATCACCATTTCTCAGGGCGGAATACTCAGAACAAGTTCAGTGAACTCTCAAAAAGCGATTGAGACTGTATGGAATGTTTTGATGGTACAGTCTTTGAGGATCACTGTTGTAGAGAAGTGGTCTGTATTCACATATGCACAGTTGTCATCTTTGTATTTCTTCCTGTGGTGGACACAGTGCAGAATGTAAATTGTTTCTGTATAACAAATCTGATTCCAACGAATGACAACTCTCACACAGATATTTCCTTGGTCACTGCTGTTAAGACAATCATTGGAACAATAGAAGCCAGTCCAGTTCTTGCTGGCTTTAGAGAAGCTTGTTGATTTTTTTCTGGGAATCAAACTCAGAGTCTTATGCTTAGAAGCAGTGGTGTTCTTCTGACTGAGCCATTGCTCCTGCCCCTCCACCTTTGTTTCCTGAGACTGTCTCTCTCACTGAATGGGGAGCTCACCATTTTGGCTAGACTTGCAGGCCTTTGGGCTCTTGAATCTTCTGTTTTCCTCCCCACCCCACCCAAGCACTGGGGTCACAGATGAGCACTGTCATGCTGTCCCAGGTTTTTACCTGGATGCTAAGAGTCTGAGTCCTAACGCTTACACAGACGCCCGTTACCACTAAGTCATCTCCCAGCCTGTACCCAGTATTATTGCTAAGATGTATCCTCTTATGTGTGTGTTATTTTTACTGTGGACTTGGCACAATTTACAGCATGGCTGGCAGGGGCGTTTGGTTGTTTTCTGACTTTATTTTTGAAATTATGAAAAAAATAATTTCAAAAATTATTTTTGAAATATTGCTTTGGATACTTTTTGTTATTGTTATTGTTTTTGTTTTTGGATACTTTTGTAAATATCTCCATATGCAAATATTTGAGAAGTCTCTTTGTGGTCTTTTCCCCAGAAATGGCTCTTACTGTGACACTGTTGGGTTACAACAAATTATTTTGAGGCCAGGCTTTATAATGCTTTCTTCTTTTTTTGCTCAAGATTGATGTAGGTCCTAGTATTTTCCTGTGCTTCCATATGAATATAAGGGTTGTTTTGTTTTCTGTAAAGAATGTTGGGCTAGGATATAGTTCAGAGGCTGTATATATTCATTGCTCATCTAGTTATAACTAAGGCTTTATATTCAATCCTTACCTGGAAAACAAACAAACAAAATAACACACACACACACACACACACACACAATCTGTCAAGCAGGGCATATGTCTGGGATCTCAGTATTTAGTAAGCTAAGCCAACACTGGTGAATTTGAAGCCAACTTGAACTATATGGCAAAGTCCTGTTTCATACATAGAAAGAACGATATTTGCTGGAGGATTTTGGCAGATATCTCTTTCAGGAAGAAGTTTCTTTTTTGTTCTTGGTCTTCTAAGTACTTCTATTATGGATGCATTTAGTTTTTATTAAACGTCTCTTCTATGGCGGGAAGGTGATGAGTTCTGTTTGGATGCATGATGTTGGGAATGCCTGAAAAGCACTGGGTTGGGTGATTCAGTCTGGGGCTCTGGAGCTCAGAAGAGAGCACTGGGTTTGGGGTGGAGTCTGCAGCAGCATATGGGTGGCAGTGGTAAATGAGGTCACACTGTCCTGGGAAGGAAGAGAAGGTTAAGGAGCTTTGAAGCAGAAGTAAAGAGGGAAGTCTGGTCAGAGCTGGTCAGAGCCAAGGAAGATTAAAGTTCTGAAGTGCAGTGTTCAGCATTAGTTAACTTGAATTGAGGGCTTCCTCAATGTAGTAGTCGATTGTCTTGTTACTATGCTAAAATACCCTGATAAAAGACACTTAAGGAAGGAAGGGTTGGTCAGGCAAGGTAGTGCACCCCTTTAATTCCAGCACTCAGGAACAGAGGCAGGCAGATGTCTGTGTGTTCAAGGCCAGCCGGGTCTGCAGAGTGAGTTCCTGGACAGCTGGGGCTGCAGAGAAACCCTGTCTCGGACAAAAAAAAAAAAAAAAAAAAAAAAGGAGGAAGGGTTTATTCTGGCTCAGGGACCCAGAGTTGGATAGTCATGGCAACAGGAGCTTGAACAGCCAATCACTTTGCATCCGAAGTCAGGAGGCACAAGAGCTCTCCTCTCTCCTGTTCCTTCAGCTTGGGACCCCAGGTATCACCTACAGAGAGAAGGTCTTCCCACCTGAGTTAACCTAGTCACAATAATTATCTCCCATATAATTCTAAAACCTACCAAGTTGGCAATCAGTATTAACCATATAGTCTGGAGCTTTGTCAGGCATTATTGATTTGATTGACATATCCATCCTGAGGTGTACATAAGGTATTTGTTCAAACAAGAAATGACTATTCAGTCAGCTGAGAGAGAAGGATTGCTTGAGCCCAGGAGTTGAGCTAGCTTGCGCAACACACCTCTATTCTAAACTAAGGATTTTTAAAACAGTTTTGCCAGATGTGGTGATCCATACCTGTAACCCTGGCACTTGATAGGTAGAGGCAGCAGGATCAGTTCGGGGCCTGCCAGAACAACATGAAACCTTATCTTACAAGCAAACACAAGTTAAAGAGCTTATTTCCTGCAGGGTGAGTAAACTGTGACTGTGGAAAGCTGGCCATCCCATGCTGGATTCCCCTGAGGGGAAGCCACTGAGTTTGGCTCTTACCCCAGCCATGTATTACATAGACTGGGGTACCACTGCCCTCAACCTACAACAAAACAACTTGCTTCTCTTATTGCTCTTCCCACCTCTTACCATTCCTATCTCCTCCTTACCTGCCACTCCTGAATCCATGAAACTTGGCTTTAGCCTCCATAGTAGACAGTGCAGTATGACAGAACCATCTCCAGCACACAGAAGGGGAGAAAGGAGTTTGTACATTGTTTTTACAACCCACCATAAGTGCTTGTCTTATTTGTTGTTTCTAAAGATTGCTTTCCTTCCTTCCTTCTTTCTTTTCCTTCCTTTTTTTCTTAATTTGGTATTTCAAGAAAGGGTTTCTCTATGTAGTCCTGGCTGTCCTAGAACTCACTGTGTAGACCAGGCTGGCCTGGAACCTGTAGATCCATCTGCTTCTGTCTCCCAAGTGCTGGAATCAAAGCTGTGTACCATTACTACCCAGCTAAAGATTTCTTTTATGCATATGTGTTTATGCCTTAGTGTACATGTGCACCACATGAATGCATGTGCCAGCAGTGACCAGCAGAGGGTATCTGAGCCTCTAGGTGGTTATAAGCTGCCTAGTGTGGGTGCTCAGAACCAAATCTTGACCCTGTGCAAGAGCAGCAAATGCTCTTAACCACTGAGCCATCTCTCTAGCCCTTTATTTGTTACTTTGTTGTTGTTTAAGACAAGTTCTCATGTAGCCCAGGTTGGCCTCAAACTCATTATGTAGCTGAGTCTGGCCTTGAACTCTTGATTCTCCTGTTTCTACCTCCCTGGTGCCAGGATCACCTGTGTGCATCACCACACTTGGATAAATCTGTTTTCGGAAAAAAAAATATAAACCCCAGTGAGTCTTTCTTCCCCCAAAGACACAGTCCTTAGAAAACTGAAGCTCCTATTACATGCTGCTATAACATAAAATTTCAGAAAACATATTTGTATTTATTTGTAAAAGTGACTGGCCTCTGATGGTTTTGTGTCATCCTCCGACTACTGATGGAAGCAGTGACCTCCACTCATGTGAACAGAGCAAAATGCTGGACAAACACCTGTGTACCAGGGTGGGTCTGCTTAGCCTGCAAAATGTCATGTGCCCTCAGTTTGTCCATTCACACTATATGTCCCAGCTTTTCTGCGATCTCAGCAGGTGTCCACTGGAGACTCTGTGTAAACCAGGTCTTTGTCTGTTTTCCTATGTGTGGAGCTCAGCTGTCTAGCAAAAGGAGTGTACAGACTGGAGCTTCATGATGCCAGAAATAGTTTTGAAGGATGCTTTCAGAGTCTGAGGTTTCTTGAAGGCGGAGTAGGCTGGCTACCAGTCTGAAATGTCCAGGGCCAACAGGTAGGGAGGTGTTGAGTAGGGTCCCTGGAGCCTGTGCCAGCACCTTCAGGGGATGTCACTAAAATCTCCATTTGCAAGAGGAAATGCTGTGTGCTAAATTGGTAGGGTATGCTCCGGGGTTGGACAGAGTTCCAGAAAATGCAGGCTTCTGCTTTTCCGGCTTCACAGAAGTCCCCTTCACATTCAGGCAAGGCTGTAGCTAGTTCTCCTGAGGGAAGAGAAGAAGCCAAGGAGAAAGGGAGAGGTGAGATGAGGGTCTCCACCCTGTCACAGAGTGCCACAGAAGCTTCAGTGTTCCAGCAACTCTCCACTCATGGGCCCACCAAAGCCACAGCCCAGTTCCTCCCTGTCACATCAGGCAAGTCCCCAGCCTCTAGGCATTGTTAGAGTGGACAGCATGATCTCTGGGCCCTTTTCCTAAAGGCTGATGTTATCAGCTGTGAGAAGTGAGGGGCTGCTGGTAATAGCACCATGTGTGTCTTGTGTAGAGATGGACACCAACTTGTGTATTCATAAGTAGGAACATCTGTGGGCCAGATGTGTGTTGATGTGGAAGCACACACTTCCCAATAGGAGCCTATTTGGCCTTGGGCCCTATGCGGAGCTCCTGAGATAGGGTTAATGTAATATATCCCTAGAAGCAAGATTCCTGCACTCTCCTAGGGAAGCCGGTACACACACCCCCATGTAGTGGATGCATGGTAGGGGAACGACAAGCCCAGGCAGCCTCTCAGCAGCCATGAGGGCAGAGAGCAGGAAGCTCCCAGGCTTAGGCACTGGGGCAATGATTCCACTGCCAGAGATCCAGAAGGAGGAGTGTAGGGAGGAGAGGATGAGGTCACCTGAAGGCTTCCTGCACCTACCTGGCTAACGTGCTGCTGGGACAGTGAGTATAGCTGTGTAATCAGTGATGTGCCTGGATGTGGGACTTGACGGAAGTACAGGGCGGAAGGTAACCTGGGTCACCAGGTGTGAGGTGTTCTAGGTCACACAAGTAGAGGGGTGCAAGGGAGATCTAGGGACCTCCCACATCCCCCGTCTACCAGGTTGTCCACAAGAGAAGACTGAAGACTAGAGATAGAAGGAAATCTAGGAGCCAAGTGTCACTGAAGCTAAGGCAAGCAGCCTGAAATCCAATGGCTTGGCTGGTGTTAGCTGTTAGGTACCAGGGTGTGTGTGTGTGTGTGTGTGTGTGTGTGTGTGTGTGTGTGTGGTAACCCTGTCCATGTGTGCCCGTGCATAAGCACTGCCCACCTCCGAAGGCTTTGCTGGGAGGAGGTGTCCGGGCTTGGCATCTTGGGAGTAGGGCCAACCATGAGGATGCACAGACCAATAAGGATCATACAGGTGGGCACAGCACCAATGAGGACCTTGAGGGTGACCACCACTTCTTCTGCTTGCTGGCAGGCCCCTGCCTCATACCCTGCGAACCTGGAGAAACACCACCCCTTCTTTCCATCAGCTCTACTGAGCTGAACTCCTTGGGTGCAGAAGTCACAGACATGTCACCCCCAACCTCTCCTGAAAACTGACTTCTAGCCAGATTATGTGATGGGCCAGAGAGGAGTTTGGAGCCCCTTAGTCCTGATGATGGGGTCCCCCACTCTCCATAGAGTGGAGCATGCACTCCAGACTCTTGGGTGACCTTTAGGGCAGGGGTTCTGCTTCCTCTTCCCACCCCCCTAGTCTTTTGTGTTTGTGGTATACCCCAGCCCTAGGACTGACTCCAAACTGAGGGTGGAGATGCCCAGGGCGCCTGCCCCTGAGAGCTTGGTGAAGAAGACGTAGGATGAGTAGAAGATGGTCTCCACGCCAGGGCCATACTGGTGCTGCAACTGGAAGTCATCCACCACATCTGGCAACATGGACCTACAGGCAGGTGCATGGAGTCAGCCCTCTGCAAGCTCTCAGGAGGGCAGAGACTAGGTTGAAGACCTCTGCTTAGAACCAACCCCACAGCGTCCAATGGGATGTCTGCTTCCCTGTTCTGTTGTTGACTGCTTTTTAGGAAAGCTCCAAGGAAGGAACCAGTGACCCCACACAGGGAGTAGGACAGCAGGAGGAAGAGAGGACTCCCTTGTGGGAGGATATGAGGTTCCCAATCCCTCATCCCTTCATCCAGCCTACCAGGGTAGCAGCAGGGACACAGCAATGCTCACACCAGAGACAAACGCCACAACATAGGCCACAGGCGCTGAGGGCACAGCAGCCAGTAAGATAGAAAAGGGAACCATCACCTGGGGAGAAAGACCTGTGAGTTGATCCTCCACTATTTCCCTGGCTTGTTTCCTCGTTTACAGGCTCAGCCTTTATTATGCATGATAAGCCCTGCATCTGGTCCTGTGCTAGGCCCAGCAGACCCAAGGGAACCCAGATCTAAACCCTGCTGAGCTCAGGTTCTGTGGTTACTTCCTTAGCCACCCCCAACCTTGCTTTTTGCTTCACTCACACAGATCCCAAACGCGGATGTCCTCTTCCCAAACCGCTGGAGAACCCACTCCCACAGTGGGGTGCTCAGCACAGCTGAGATCTGTGAGCAGACAGCATCATCCCACCAGGCCCTGAGGTCCACACCTTCCCCCCAGACCTCAGAGCCCTTGCTTTTAGGCAGGACACCCAACCTCAGACTGTTTGGTTTGAACCAGTAGCTATTAACATTGAGTCTGACTCCCCAAGCACCACCCTCTGGAATGAGAATGAAACCAAATGTGGCCATTAGAACTCTGGCCAGAGGGGTTCTCCTTCAGGACCCAAGAGTCCATCTCCTTGGTCCCCTTACCAGGATGGTTAGCACCAAGTTCTGGACATGATCTTGGAGCCGGGAGGCATGTGTACAGAACAGGACCAGGTAGCTTTGTTCCACCTGAGGAGATGAATAGGAAATGGTCATATGCAGGAATTGGCAGGAATTCAGAAGTCACATGTAAGGGGAAGGTCTCCAGTAAGGCTTATTCACTGAGTCCTTGGACTCGAAGGATTCCCCGTCACCATAGATATGAGCACCATCCCCGTTTGCATAGTTAAGATCAGGTGGGCCGGGCGTTGGTGGCGCACGCCTTTAATCCCAGCACTCGGGAGGCAGAAGCAGGCAGATCTCTGTGAGTTTGAGGCCAGCCTGGTCTCCAGAGCAAGTGCCAGGATAGGCTCCAAAGCTACACAGAGAAACCCTGTCTCAAAAAACAAACAAACAAAAAGAAAACAAAAAACAAAACCAAAAAAAAAAGATCAGGTGGACTCGACTAGACTTCAGGTAATAGGAGAGGATGTCCTCCCAGACATCATCAACTCCCTGGGAACCCCAATCACACCAGCCACACCCAGGTTTTTCCTCCCAGTACCTCTTTCAACCATGTGTCATTCCCCCATAAAACTGAAACTTAAGCCGGGCGTTGGTGGCTCACGCCTTTAATCCCAGCACTCGGGAGGCAGAGGCAGGTGGATCTCTGTGAGTTCGAGGCCACCCTGGTCTCCAGAGCGAGTGCCAGGATAGGCTCCAAAGCTACACAGAGAAATCCTGTCTCGAAAAACCAATAATAATAATAATAATAATAATAATAATAATAATAATAACAATAACAATAAACCAAAAAAAAAAACAAAACTGAAACCTAAGCTGGGCACGATGATGGATGCTTGTAACCGCAGCACTTGTATGGAGTCAAGAGAATCAAGCTGATGACCAGAATAAGCTACATAGCAAGTTCCAGGCCCACCTGTGCTACCTAAGACCCTATTTCAAATGCCTGTTTACAATTAGCACAGCCAGGGCAAATCAAAGATCACTTTGCCAGCGATACCTGGACGGCAGCTGAGATGAACAAGAAGGAGACCACCAGATTCAAGTAGGGTGGGTGCCGGGAAGTGACAGCTAGCCCCGTGAAGAAGCTCAGGCCTGTACCTGAGGCTGGGGCAGAAGTGTCTGAAAAACAGGAAGGTGATACCTGGACCAGCAGAGTTCAAAAACTCACCCCAGGAGGAGTCCTGCTCCCAGCTTCTGCCTCTCATGCCCTCACTGCACCCCCATACCTGGCCGCTCCTTTACTCCTAGGCACAGCAAACCACCACACACAGGGTAAGTCAAGGCAACCACAGCAGCTGCAATGCAGTAGAGGCGAGCCTGTGTGGGGCAGGATAGAATTGTACTGAGGGTAATGTTTGCAGCCCATGGAGGAAAGCAGAGGTACCTCTATGCCAGTGGAAAGATCATCATCCCAAGCCCAAAGACGCTGGCTTCTGTTCCTCCAGTTTGCTCAGAGTTAGGCCTAAGAGCCGGGTACAGGCCATCTTATCTGATGACTCTTTGCCACCCCTATGGAAGGGAACATCCGTGCTACCAGAGGTCAGCGTGCTTAATGTCCCATCTTAGTCAGCAAGTAGGCACTGCTGCTAACTTCTGTGTCCTAGATCCTGAGGTTACAATGATAAGTGAGTGGCCCCTCATCCACAGTAAGGCTGGGCAGTGGGTAGGGGTGTACAAATCCATGGGCAGTTAATAGTGTGATGGATGGTGACCCAGATGAAATACAGAGAAAATAAAAATGCAGGTAAAGAGATGCATGGGGGTGACAGCCAATGAGGACAGAGGGCACTTCTGGGAAGGGAAGGAATGGAGTACAGAATGGCTTTCCCAGACGAGCTCCATGCCTTGAAAGAGCACTGTGCTCTGCTTTCGTTGTCCTGAAATTGTTGGTAATTTTGTATGTGAATTTTTTTTTTTTTTTTTTTTGAGGCAAGGTCTTTGTGTTGCCCACACTGACCTAAAATTCACTATGTAGCCAAGGACGATCTTGCACTTGGAATCTTCCTGCCTCCATCTCCTGGGTGCTGGGATTACAGCTGAGAGCCATCATTTGGCTTAGAAGGTGCTGAAGGGCTTCAAATTTGCTAGGCAAATACTACCAACTGAGCTGTAACCCGATCTCTGCATTTTCTATTGTTGTTGTTCTTGTCTGTTAGCGGTTTGTTACTCCCCCCACCCCCACCCCAAGAATCACACACAGAGTGTTTTGGATTTTTCTAGACCGGTTTCATAAAGCTCAGGCTGGCTTTAAACTGACTGTATAACCAAAGCTAGCTCCTCCTGTTTCCATCTCCCATGTGCATCACCATGCACTATGCCTCTCTTGTGTTTTTGCTGTTGCTATTTGGTTGGTTTTGGCCATGCCTGGTGATTGAATCTGTTTAGTACCTCATGCATGCTCTCTCTCTCTCTCTCTCTCTCTCTCTCTCTCTCTCTCTTCCTCCTTTTCTTCCTTCCTCTGTTCCTTCTTTCGTTCCTATGTTCCTTCCTGTTCCCTGTTCTCTTCCCTTCCTTCTTTCCTTCCTTCTCTTTTCTTCCCTCCTGACAGGCTCAGTGGAGAACCTGATAGGCATTGGGGCTTGTGAGTTCAGTTAGAGAGGTAGGGAAAGGATGGGCATTTTGACCCAAGAGGGAGAAACAACAGAAGAATATTCCTGAAGGAAGGAGCTGACCCCACGAAGGGGGTCCTGGATACCTCAGACACTTACTACATCTGGGGAGACAGCAGTACTCCCAGAAAGCCCAGGATCCTCACACCTCCGAGACCCATGGGCACTGGATACAATGAGCCCATGGACAGTGGCTCCCATCAATGTCCCTGCCATCTCCATGGTCATCCCTGGAGACAGAGCATTTACAAGGTGACATGGAAGGATCTGAAGGACAACAGCCTCCAGCCCGAACACAGAACTGTACTCACGGTATGCAGTGGCAGAGTCTCGCTCCCTAGGGCTGGGGGTGAGTATCATAGTGAGGGCCGTGTAGGGTACCTGGAAGAACTGGGATGGCCCCTCCGAGCTTAGGATGGCCTCCACCATCCACGCTGTTACTCCAGGTCTGTGTCTCCTTCCCCTGCCACTTAGCTATACAAAAGCCAGCAGCCACCCTGTCCCATCCAGGTTCCTAAAAGGCCAAATCATCTAACTCTCAAAGCTAAGGGCTCTGAAGCAAGGCCTGAGCAGCGAGTCCAGACCTGCAACAGCCTTACTCTAAATAGAAATCATATCTGACAGTGGGGCTCACTAGAAGCAGGCCTAGGAGGGCTCGGAGGGGAGGTCACACACTTACCGTAGCCAGGGCCTGGAACAGGCAATAGAAGGTGATATACCAGAGCCCACGAAGGCTGATGAACGGGGGCAGGAACCACAGGAAGAAGTAGGCCAGTGCAATTAAGGGCATGCAGCCCAGCGCCCTGTAGAAGCGCAGCTGAGGTACTGTGCCTCCAACATGGAAGCACCAAGGACCCAGCAGGGACAACCTCACCCTGTCTCTGTCCCAGAAGGGTCACTCTGGAGCTGGGACTCTCAGGGGGTCACGGAGACAGGGGGAAGCAATGATAACAAAAGGAGGGACATTCACTATTGGGACTCTGGCCAGGGCCCCCTGTATTCAGAACACTGGAGAACTGGGGGTTCACTTAGTGATAGAGCATTTGGCTAGTACCTGGAAGGCATTAAGTTGGAGCACGGGCACGTTTCATTCCCCTAGAGCCTTCCAGCCTAGTCCCACCACATGAGCCACAGACAGAGCTGGAAGCCCTGGAAGCTTGTTCAGTCCTGGGCCCAATGATGAGGGACAGACAATCCCTCGCCATGTCCCTGCTCTAGCTCATCTGCACTGTACAGGCCTGCCTCCTAACCATCCACAGGTATCAACTAATAAATAGGCCGTGACAGTGACACACAGCCAAGGGGACAGCATGGTCCAAGCACCAAGGAATTCTCACCAAGGCATTAGCCGTCCAGCTCTTGCCCTTCTGCTCTTGTTGATGAAGAAGCCAGCCACAGGGTCTGCAATTGCCCCAGACACCTTCCCTCCGAACAAGGCAAGTGACACCTGGGCAGCCGGAATCTGAAACCATCAAGAGGCTACAGCCAGGGACCCAGAAAATCAGAGGCTACCGTCAGGCTTGCATGCCTGTGGGAAGGGAGATCTGGGGAACTCATCTGGGGCTAGAGCCAAGGTAGAAATCATGTTCCTGCCCAGGACATGATTCCAGAAAGCTCTGAGGGACATCAGAGCCAGTGAGGAGAAAGCTAATGCTGACAGATGTACAGAGGCACTCTGTAACTATTTATTTGTTTGTCTTTTGTTTTTGAGATAGGGCAGTGGTTCTCAACCTCTGGGTTGAGATCCCACGGGTGGGGGGAATTACATGTCCAATATTTACATTATGATTCATAAATGTAGCAAAATTACAGTTATGAAATAGCACCAAAGTAATTTTATGGTGGGGGGGGGTCCCCATAAATGAGGAACTGTATTAAAAGGTTGCAGCATTAGGAAGATTGAGAACCAATGAGATAGTTTCTTGTCTCAAGCTCAGTATGTAGTCAAGGATGACCTTGAACTCCCAACCCCATCTCTACTATTGGGATTCTAGGATTGTACCACCACACCCATTTCATGCATGCTAGGTGTGGTGGTTTGAATGTAATTGGCCCCATAATGTGGCGATATCTTTCACAAATAAAGCCTGTCTGGGGATTAGAGAATGGAGCTTGCCACTAGCTAGCCAAAGAGGTCTACAGATAGACAGGAAGTGACATAGCTGGGTAGAAACAGGATATAAGCAGGGAAAGACAGGAAATTGCTCTCTTCTCTGTTAAGACACTTAGGAGGTAATTTGTGCTGTGGCTTGCTCCTTCTTTCACAGGGAAGGGCACTATTGGGAGGTGTGGCTTTGTTGGAGGAAGTGTGTCACTGTGGGGGTAGGCTTTGAGGTTTCCTATACTCAGGATACTGCCCAGCAAGTCAGTTGACTTCATATTGCTTGCAAAATAGGACACTGGGTTATTTCTCCAGCACCATGCCTGCCTGTATCATGCTCCCTGCCATAATGGGCTGAACCTCTAAACTATAAGCTAGGCCCCACAGTTAAATGTCTCCTTTATAAGACTTGCTGTGGCCGGGCAGTGGTGGCACAAGTCTTTAATCCCAGCACTTGGGAAGCAGAAGCAGGAGGATCTTCATGAGTTTGAGGCCAGCCTGGTCTACAAAGTGAGTTACAGGACAATCAGGACTGTTACATGGAGAAATCTGTTTCGAAAAACAAACAAACAAAACAAAACAAAACAAAAAGACTTGCTGTGGCTAGGGGAGGGAGGGGAAACTGTGGTTGGTATGTAAAATGAATAAAATAAAAAAAAAGAGTTGCCATGGTCACGGTGTCTCTTCAGAGCAATAGTAAACCTAAGACTACAGAAATGCTCTACCTGTTGATCCATCCCCATCTTGTTTTGCGACAGGATCTCATGTAGCCAAGGCTGGCCTCAAACTCCTGATTCTCCTGTCACTGCCTCTCTACTGGAATGCTGGGATTACAAGTGTCTGTCACCACACCTGGCTATTTTGTCATTTTCCTAGTACAAGCAGAATGTGATGATTATTTCTGAAGAGATTTCCCTCCATGGTATTTTTAATGTTGTCATCAAAGTTGGGTCAAAGGGCTTCTACCAAAACTAAAGAGGCAGCATGGGTGGAGAGGAGGTAGAACGACCAGGGTCCCTGGGCTGCTGCCCATGCTTACCTGGGCCACATCAAGTAGGAAGATCTGCAGGTAGAAGGCTGAGGCGCTGGAGGCAACCTGGTTGGGGACCCCACCAATGCCATAGCACACCTTCGTACAGACTGAGAGGCGATTGGCTCTGTTTTCCTGGGAGAGACACAGGAACTAACCCCTATTCCTAGAGGCACAAAATAGCTCCCCATGCCCAAGTAACTTTTGTAAAAATCCTGTATTTCCTGATGGCTTGAGGACTCCTCAGCAATCTCTGCCTCATTTTGACCCCAGATTACCCTATGGGGAAGTGAGAGAGAATAAAAAAAAAAAAAAACAAAACAGAATTCTAAACCACGACCTCTAAACCATCATTCCAGGGGGAAGTTCTTCTTTGCATTCTGCCCCAATGCTTCCTGTCACAGCTGCTTTCTGCACTGAGTCAGTAATCGGAGGGAGCTGTGGGTCCCTGTATGATCTTGAATCAATCCATTTATGTTTCTAGGCTGTGTTTTCCTCATCTATCAGGTTCGATCACCCTGCCAAGTTCACAAGGTTGTTGTGATGACTGAACAAAACAGTGACTCTGAGAATCGATTGTTCAATGTTTGGATTTATTTGATATTTACTTGTGGGGGGCGGGGGTGTGCATGTTCCACAGCACACATGTGGAGGTCACAATGTATTCTCTCTTTCTACCATGGGGACCCTCGGTATCAAACTCAGGTCATCAGGCTTGGTGGCAGGTACCTTTACCCGCTCAGCTGTCCAATGTTTGTGACTTTTGCAAGCCATTTGTTGAGCCTCTGGCCTCAGCTGTGATGGGATTGTGTACACCATAGATAACCAGCAAACCCCACTTACACCCTTTTTTTGGAAAGACTGTTTATCAACTGGGTAGTATCACAAAATAGTCTAAGAGCCTGGAACATGGAATACCACAGTCCCTCAGCTATCCAGCCAAGTCATAAACATTTGATTGCCATCTCACAGCCCCAAGTGGTCTAAATGCAGCTCCTTCCCGTTATCCCACTGTGGAAACCAGCTCCAAACCCCATTCGCCACATGGCTTTAAATAACACTGATATCTGCTCAGTGGCTCAGACCACAACCTTGGTCATCCTTGGTTCCTCTGTTTTCCAATTCCCCTGCCACACTTAGGCTGCTAGTCCACTCCCCCTGCAGCGGCCAGTACCCTTTGAATAACATAAATCAGACTAAGTCTGCTCTCTGCTTAAAACCAATAACTTGTCAGTCTTTACGGTCTAATCAAACCCAAGTCCTCGAAATGGCCTTCACGAGCCCACTCTGCTCCCACTCCCTCACTTGAAATAGCTTTCTTGGTGGAGTTTCCTATTGTTCAAAACCTTTGAGATTGTTGCTTCCTCTGGTCTTTGTATTTCTTTTTGTTTTCTCTAGAAGGTTCTTCTGTGTCTTTCAAGAGTTGATTGCTTGCCATTCAGGTGCTTAAATATTCCTTCCTCAGAGGCATTCCCTGACAACTCAGGTCCTGAATTGCCCAGACTGCCTGGTAAACTCTCAGCTATTCCTACTTTATTCCATCACCATATAAACTGAGAGCATAAACTTTCTCAGTCGCTCTGGTGCCTCTAGTACCTAGGCATACAGTAGGTGCTAATATGTTTTTAAAACAATCAATGGCCTGGAGGACACTGTAAAGTGCTCTATGTTCAAATAATGCTAGGAATCATTTTTTCATCTTTTGCCTGGGGACAGAAGCAAGATGGAAAGGAGCTAGGACTCCGAGCAGTATCTTGTAGGCACCACAGGCAGGCTGCATGGAAGGGAAGGTCTTCCCAGATAAGGTTTATCACACCCTTCACACATGCTTCCTACCCCAGGAGAAAAACCACTCTCAAGGCTGGGTGCATTCTTTTTCTGACATTGGTGTGGACATTATTGCAACTTCCAGAAAAGCTTAATTGGCAGAATGCAGTGTGAGTGGATTCCCATCCCATAATGAGTCTCGTTCCCCCCCAAATGGGCCTATGGAGGTTTTAGATAAGGGAGGGCCAACCAAACAAATTCCAGCAGAAACTGAGGTGGTACAGTCTTGCAGTCTTTGGAATGATCATTTGATCGCCTTACCCCATCAGTCCATGGAATCTGCATTTTACGAACTGACAAGCTGGCTGTGTGACCTAGGTAAGGGACTGAGCCTTGTGGAGCCTCAGCTTTTTGACAAGCAAAATTCAGATATACACACCTCATAGTACTAGGATAATTAAACAGTGAGGCTTCATGGCAGTCTGGGTTCTCTCTCTGCCGGTAATATCACCCAAGTTCCCTGAATTTTCCTGGAAAATGAGAGTTCCCTGAGGGTCCTCTACCCCATCCCTGCCCCAGTATAGGAAGGAGTCTTACCATGCTAGACAAACCCTCTGCTACTGGCTTACATACATCTCTACTCATCCACTTTTCTGATTGTTAAGATTATTAAGGTCTTACTATGCTTCCCAGAAGCTCCAGGAATATTCCTGCCTCAGGCTCCCTAGCCAGGATCTGGGTCTACAGGCATGCTAAGGACCAGAGGTCTCCCGGTTGAGGGATGTCTTTCTTTTGCCTGATAATAAACAGTGAATCAAGATAGAGGATGGATGATATAGTCTATTGCAGCCATAGAGTATGGCACAGCCCGAGGCTCTTAATGCTTCTCTGGCATTGGCCTCAGCCTCAGTCCCCCCTCTACCCATAGAGAAGGTAGAGGGCTTAAGAACACCTTGGGTTCCCACCTGCCCCCTCCCCATACTTCCAAAGCCCCTCCTTGCCTGTCAGCAGTATTTCAGAGGGAGGCTAAGTCCACAAGAGACGCCTGGAGTTTGTGGAAGGAGGCAGAACCCTTACTAACATCTACCAGCGCTGAAGAGGCTTCCGGGAAAACCTGCAGTGGCCTGGGATCAAGACACTAGAGACCTGGTCCTTCCTGTCTAATTGTTACTTCATGTCAGGTCTCCGGGGTATCCCAGTGGCACCAAACTTTGTACTCTGCCCAACAACTGGATGAAGGGCTGTGGCAGGTGCCTCTCTACCCTGCCCATGGGAGCGCCATGCAGACCCGCTTCCCTCTCGCCCTCCTGGCGCTCACCGAGCCTGGCTCCTGGGTGTGAGGCTCTGCGACCCGGGCCGCCTGGGTGGGTTCCTGAGGCAATGACATCTCAGGGCTGCTCCTCTGACTGCGAAGCTCTGGGCTCTGTTGTGCTTGGGGTGGGTCCAGCCGAGTGGGCGCGGCCCTGGGCGTGCAGGCAGCCGGCCCCTTGGGGCCCCAGCAGTCCTTTGCGGTGGTCTGCCCAGCTTGGGGATACCCAGGACCTCCAAGCTTCCGGTTGTCTTCTCCAAGGAGGAGCTCGCCTATCGTCATACACCTAGGAAAAGCTGGCAAGTCCTCGGGGACCGGCGATTTTCTTTTCTTGGCAGACGTGACGTGTTGTAGATAGAAACCCTCGGCTAACCCCACCCCCCACCCCTTGGGTGAAAGCCAGCAAATAAATTTAGCCTTTAAATGAAGCAATACACTCTACTTGTTCAGACTAAAATTATAGCTGAGTGGGCTTTTCAGCCCGAACAACACATTTCCCAGGCTTTCCTATAATAGGTAACTGGTAGGTTTGTCTATACAACTAAGTCCGGGCCTGAGTGAAGTGTGGTAGGTGCAATATCCCAGGAAGTGCTTTAAAAGGGAAAGGGCCGCACTGCATAAAACTCCTGTCAAAATAGTGTAACCAGCCCGCCTTGTATTACCAGACTACTGAAACAATGAACCCCAGAAATCAGTCAGAGCCTCCTCCGGCAACAATACAACAAAACCAAGCAACTCCTGGGAGAAAGGCCCTGGGCAGCCTGAAGAAACTTGTTAGAGAAGGATCTCTACTTGTCTTTCTGAGTCCACCTTGGCCCGACTGAGGAGTTCTACTCCCTCTTGGACTTTGGAGGTCATCGGATCTTTTGGTTACTGTCCTCAACGTGCTCATACTGAATTTTCACCATGCATTTGACTGAGTTAGTGTATTGAGAATGGACGGCTCAACCTGGTTTGTTGGGGACACAGGCTGTGACCTTAAGCCCAGCAACAATAGGTGCAATGTACATATTAGACAACTGTACCTTAGGACACAAGCACAAGTTGCACAAACTTTGTGTTGCAAATAGTCACACGTGGCAAGATAATCATATTCTCCCAAGTGTGGGAGATAATATTCACAAATTATAAAGTACTTATATTGGGATATACAAATAGCTCTTAATAACAGAAAAAAATCTCATTTTAAAATTCATAATGTGATACTCTAAAGATACACAGATGAACTATAAGGACATAAAAACATCCTCGTGCTGGCTATGGCTGTGCATGTCTTTCTTAGAGACAATTTCCCTGTGTAGCCTTGGCTGTCCTGGAACTTGAATTGTGGACCAGGCTGGCCTCAAACTCAGAGATCCGTCTGCCTCTGCCTCGAGTGCTGGGATGAAAGGTGTGCGTTACCACACTCAAGAGTTCTTTTTTTTTTTTTTTTTTTTGGTTTTTCTGTGGCTTTGGAGGCTGTCCTGGAACTAGCTCTTGTAGACCAGGCTGGCCTCGAACTCACAGAGATCTGCCTGCCTCTTGCCCCCATGTGCTGGGATTAAAGACGTGCGCCACCAACGCCCGGCAAGAGTTCCTTTTCAAGGAGATGCAAATTTCCAAAATTATATCCTGGTTGAATACTATAGTTGAATAGACTTAAAAAATCATTGACTTTTTTTTGTGCCTGGCAGCACAGCTATCTTGAGAACCCATGTCAACTTAATCTGAGATTATCTTTGGAATTGGCGTTTTATAACTTTCTATAGTGAGTATGAATTATGAGTATGAATTGTCTGTGCCAAAACAACTTAAAACAAATGACAAAGAGCAAAATATAAATGTAATGAGTAAGTCATTTCTGAGATTCTAGTGTGATGAACAACTTTTTAGAGAAGCAGTTTGTTCTTTGGCAAAGAAGAACAAAGGAATATATTAATAAACCTCCATGCTATGTCTTAAGAACAAATACAATCGTTGGGCTGGTACTAAAATATCACTTTTTCACATTTCTGAACATGAAATGAAAATAACACTGGTTAAAGAAAAGGCATCTAACAAATAATCATTGATTCTCAAACCGAATGACAAATAATGACAAAAGCATTCACATGTAACTGTTTTATAACAAATGTAAATTATTAACAGATCCTTTCAATGAACAGCACTTTACCTTAGAATAGTTCATTTAACCATTAGCAAAATATCACATCAAAAATATATTAATGTTGTTTGTAGTTTACTCTTTGGCTCTTTTGGGGGGCCTGCCACCCAGCTCCCAAATAAACCACACAGAGGCTTATTTTTTCTTATGAATGCCTGGCCTTAGCTTGGTTTGTTTCTAGCTAGTTTTTCTTAAATTATCCAGACTACCTTTTGCCTCTGGGCCTTTTCTTTTTCTTCTGTATATCTTACTTTCACTCTTACTCCTGGATGGCTGGCTGGCCCCTGACATCATCCTCTCTCCTTGTTCTATCTTGCCCCTTTCTCATTTCTCCTCCTATCTATTCTCTCTGCCTGCCAGCCCTGCCTATTCCTTCTCCTGCCTTGCTATTGGCTGGGTTGCTTTTTTTTTTATCATCACAGCTTCACAGAGTTACACAATTGCAGCATTAACAAAAGCAACACATCTTTACATCCTTAAACAAATGTTCCAGAGCATAAACAAATGTAACACACCTTAAAATAATATTCTACAACATATTAAGGCACTAAAATAAATACACATACTGCACTGTCAATGTTTGGAAACATGAAGTATACCAGATATGTACTTCTGTATGTCCACCTTATCTGCAAGATAACTGACTGGTGACAGATTTGAAGCAATGACTTGGGTCAAACTGCTCCCACTCCTAAAATGTTCACTTATTTCAAGTTTTACTTCCCTTGGCATTTATTTTTCCAAAGTCAACCTGTGGTAAGGACTCTAGACACTTCACAACTTTTAAATTTCAAGTAAAAAGCTTTATCAGATGATTATCTTTAAGAACATTGTTGATACTAACAGTTTTCACAGTTTAAAAAAACATGAGTTATTGCTGATAACTGTTCTTCCTATTGGAACCTCTCCCTGACATGTACTCTACAAGACACACAAGAAATCCTGTTAATTAGAAACTGAGAAATCCACAAAGGAGGCTTTTTTGTTTTGTTGTTGTTGTTGTTTTTTTTTTTTTTTGGGGGGGGGTAGATACATGAGAAATGTAGAAACATTCACAAATTTATAACATGACAAAATAGATTCTAGTTGAGAGGTGGCAAACAAATGGCTAATTACAAAACTAGCTGAAAATAAGTTCCTAGTTTTGGGGGAGAAATTTGGAAGAGAATGAACTGTGGTTCTTGGAGAATTCTTTGTTTGCAGTATGGCGGTGCTCTTCAATGACTCAACATACCTCATCCTCTACAATGATGGTGACAGCCTACATACAGTACATAGTGTGATAGCACGGAGTCCTACCTCACCATGAGCTCCCACCCTAACTCCTTGAAGAAGATCACTTTCCTCACGTATTTCTGCCCATTACATGAGTGATCACCTGCTGAAGGCAGGGGCCAGCATCACACCCCGGGGGAAATGATGAGCTGGCCAGCATTCCCTATCTGCAAACAAGGCTCTGCACATGTAGGGCCATCATTCCGCACCTCAGCAATAGCAGTGTACAGATTTTCTTCCAGAACCACACCAAACTTATCCTGTGCCTCCAATGGCAGCAGTGACCTACATCGACAAGACGGACTTCTGCACATACTGCCTAAGCCTTCTGGAGGAATATGGCTGCTGCAAGGAACTGGCTAGCTGGCTACGCTCTGCCTGCACCATGGTAGACAAGCTGTTGAGCTCGAAACTGTCTGCAACTGCCTCAAGACCTCTTCCTAGGCCTCTCTCTGTCCTTTGGACTGGTGCCCCTGGCCTTGGGGGCTGGGTGTGGAACAAATTCCCCCTTGAAGGGGCTGCCATGTATGCTATTTTTTTTATATGCTTACATATGTTAATGATTCCCTGCCCTCAAGCCCAATGTATGAATTTTATGTTTTTCTCTTGAATTTGGTACTCCCTTTCCTCGTTTTTTAATATATTATCTTTATATACATTAAATAAATATGCATCCTTTTAAAAAAAGGATTAAAATACACACACACACACACACACACACACACACACACACACAC